CTAGGAATGGTCTCCAGTTTTCGAGCCGCTGTTCGTGATGAGCCCAGATTCAGCACAACACACGTTTTCTGATGGTTGTCTTAGTTCTGCTATCACAATCTGGGCGGATATGCTCGCTACATGGGCCAAGGGCCTCAGCTCAATCTAGCTCCAGAAACGCAAAACGGGAACGGACCTTCGCAGCTCTGTTTGGAGAACAGCTGGACAGATACCATTTTAGACTAAAACCATCATTGAAAAATCATCGATAGTGTCGTTCTCATTACAAGTGGCAACTTGACCTGAGACTATAGCTTGCAAATTAAAGGCAGTTTGCACGATAATTTGGTGCTCGGCCTAAAATGCTAGCAGGGCGCTATATAGTGGGGAAAATGGCGAAAAGAAGTGAAACGGTCAAAACCTGCGAAGTGAAGCCTTTGTTCTTACTGATTCGAAAAAGCAGTTTCGGACGAGTTTCCTGTAGGCATCGTGCCAATATCGCTAGGGTAGATACGGCTGCATTTCTACAGGGTGGGGGGGGGCAAAAAAGACACTTTTCTTCCTCGACTTTCAAGGCGATATAAGTTACACTTTATTAAATTCTGATTGGACATTTCCACCACCATATTCAACAGCACATTGTACACTATCATGATACTCCGCCACAGCCTTCTGGACGAGCGCCATCGAGAGATTCTGCCACGCGACCGTGATTCGGTGCCTGAGTTCAGCGAGGTCGTTGATTTCTCCGCCACTGTAGACCACCCTGTTGAGCTCCGGACCCGGTAATCGATTGGGTTTAGGTCAGGTAACACACTCAGATATTCCGTCTTCTTCAGGTACTCAACGCCCTTCCATTTCAAGTAGGCGAAAGTTTTTCCAGCGCCCTTCAATTCCATGTGGTGGCACCCAATCCTGTAACAGTACAAAGTTTCCAAGATGGTACGGGTGACGTCATAAAGGGAGGATATTCTCCTTGAGTTGAACGATATAACCATTCAGCGCTCACCTCCAGTCCGGGGCCACACAAAAAATATCGGCCTTTCCCCAGGTACCTCCAGTCCATACCATCAGTCCGCGCCTTGGCGAACTGTGGTGGTGAAGATGATGTCCTAGACCGTGGTTGTCGGAGCTGCTCGATGTTGGAGGTCATCCAGATCGAGAGTACTGGTCTCCAGGTAGCTATCCATGGGTGACTCCATACTAGAAGTTTCGCAGCTGTTTGGAGGTGACATGAATTCCAAAGGTCTTCTCCAGTCAGGCTGCGACTGGAGATGACTTCATATTTTGGTGTACATGAAGGTGATGGGCGAGAGCCAGCTCCTGCTTATCGAGGAACATCTTGGGTATCTTCCGCCCTGGTACTCGTATCCACGTCTTCTGTCTGGGCTGCGAAAACTTTACTGATATGTGACTCGGCCGAACTTTTTTTGGCTCCCCTCTATATTCATCTATTCGTGCAGGTATCGTGGCCGCTTCTTGTCAGTCACATCAGGTATGGTCAGTCAATTTGTGGGCGGGCGGGCTCGGGTCGGTGTATTGTAGGTTGATTGGGCGCTATAAAGCTTCGTTCCTTGGAAAAGGCGTTATGCAGCGCCCCGTCAGGGTCGCAGAATTACACCTACTCGTATCAATCTACTGATTACACCTACTCATCTTAGGGATTTATCGCGCCAACTGCCTTTGAAATGCCTGTGAGTATTGTCAAAAGCGCTTCGTGTGGGTCGAGAAGCAATCACAAAAGAGGACCCACAGTCATATCTATACAAACGTGAGGACGTGTGCGGGAGGTTCAAGTGGAGTGCAGCCATGGCGGCTTTTCCCACCAGGTGATGATGAACCAGCAATAATTGGTGGAAAAGGCCCCCTAGCTGCGTTGCAAGTAGAGGGGAAAGCAAACGATTGGAAAAAGAAAACTTTCCAAAACACAGATTCTCCGCTTCACCTCTTCCCCGGACAAACCATCGTTATCTCGGCCTCCTTTGCATGTCCTCTCGTATCCAGGAATAGTAACTGTGAATAAGCTCGACTTTCTTTAATATGGATTTTGCCCAATGCTATCACCCTACTAAACTTCCCTTACATCATTGCGATTCCAAAAAAGTAATCATTTGAAACCAAAATCAAATACTTTGACAATTTAGTGGTTTTACGATTGAATTTGGTGCAGCGATGACGACTCTTATTGCTAGCAAGCTGGGATTACCGATCAGTACTACGCAGTGCCTGGTAAGAATTACTTGACTGTTCGCTAGAAATTCAATGAAAAATGATAATTCACATAATGAGGGAAATGCTCAAAACACATTGTCTTCGTGACATTACTCAGAATGAATAGGAATGCTACTGCTGATTGTAAGATACTGGTTGCGACTACGCTTGAAGTATTTTCACGCGAAGCGCCAATTCATCGTAGGACCCCATCTGATTTCATTATATATACCATTTTCACTTTAAATTCGCCCTTTTTCAAACCAAATTCGTCCTTTTTCAAACCAAATTCGTCCTTTTTCAAACCAAATTCGTCCTTTTTCAAACCAAATTCACCCTCACTCTTCATCAAGAACCACACTTATTAGGGCGGGCAACTCATCAACCAGATCACGCCAGACATCACTGCGAGCCCCGCCCCGACGGCCACGCCCACTTGTCAGCGCGGACATAGATTCTCAAATCTTGTTTCATAACTTCTGCTTTTGCTGTTTCCCACAAACCCTTTGACTGGAAACCACCGTGCATTCACACATGGCCGACTCCGCCCATTCTCTAAAGGGTTTGGCACTCTAGGCTGACCACGCCCACTGGCTTTTCGCGGAATTTCGATGTTTTTTCAAAATTTTTGCAATTTAGGGTTGCTGCGTGAAGCCCCGCCCTTTGTGAGATGCTCCGCCCACTTTGAATAAGCCCCGCCCACTTTTCAAAAATGGTGCAGATCGGCAGTATAGAGACTTGGCTTGCATGTTAGGGTCTCGTACGTCACTCGGAACAAGAAAATCCGGCAAAGTTTATTCCGAATGATCAGCAATACACTAACATGCAAGCCAAGTCTCTATACTGCCGATCTGCACCATTTTTGAAAAGTGGGCGGGGCTTATTCAAAGTGGGCGGAGCATCTCACAAAGGGCGGGGCTTCACGCAGCAACCCTAAATTGCAAAAATTTGAAAAACATCGAAATTCCGCGAAAAGCCAGTGGGCGTGGTCAGCCTAGAGTGCCAAACCCTTTAGAGAATGGGCGGAGTCGGCCATGTGTGAATGCACGGTGGTTTCCAGTCAAAGTTTTGTGGAAACAGCAAAAGCAGAAGTTATGAAACAAGATTTGAGAATCTATGTCCGCGCTGACAAGTGGGCGTGGCCGTCGGGGCGGGGCTCGCAGTGATGTCTGGCGTGATCTGGTTGATGAGTTGCCCGCCCTAATAAGTGTGGTTCTTGATGAAGAGTGAGGGTGAATTTGGTTTGAAAAAGGACGAATTTGGTTTGAAAAAGGACGAATTTGGTTTGAAAAAGGGCGAATTTAAAGTGAAAATGGTATAAAACCACTGTACGCGTACTTGCGAGGCTGCTCTTTTCTGCGCCATCCTGCTAGTTCTACGATTGTCTTGATCGTCTCTCAGCATACGCTATGCCTTTGAGTGCAGCAATGTGCCGACTAAGCCAGCTATAGAAAACAGTGCTACTTTGTGGGCGTCACTCCGACGCTCATGTTCTATCCGACACCCTTATCTCTACTTATCGACACCTTTGGTGCCGTTTGGGAGATTTCCCTTGTGGTTTACGCGGGAAAGGAGGTGTTGGAGTGACGTCACATGAGCGTCATCCGTGTGAGGCCGACACTTTTTGATTTGGCGTAAAAGCGCTGTCAAGCGTATTAGGAAATTTTAATCAAGTTGTCTCTCTTGCCGCCTGGAAACCATAAAACGTCTCGACATTCTAGATTGGTTCAGTCGTTGTTGTCGGCTCCCTGAGAGGTGGTGAAGGCGTACACTGGGCAGTATTCAGAAATATCGTGATCACTTGGATTTCAACATTGCCGGCATCAGGTCAGTTCCTTCGGAAAAACTTGACTTCAAGCGAACTTCATTATTTGCTTACTTAAAGGCCATTCCGCGGTCGCATTTTGTGGGATTTTGGGTTTAAATGTGAACTTGTCGGTGCTAGTTAACTCTTCAATGATGAAAGAGCGAACAAGCCGTCTAATACTCCCTGAGTTTGGCTACATGCTGTTTGAGTATTCCAAGAAGCGAGACACTGACGCGTGGGTGGAACATCAAAACTAAAGAATGCGGGAAGAGAAAAACGAGCTGGAGGACGAGGGAGCACTGAGATGATCTCTCCCTCATAGACTGGACAAAACGCCTCGCACCTGGGGATTTGCCTCACGACATCACACTCGCCTAACTGTCGAGCCACGATTGGTGCAATCTCTGCTTTGGCGAATTAGGTTACACGTACGGAGAAAGAATTTTGCCTGTCAAGTAATCGTGGAGTGTTCCTCTGAAGTAGCGTCTCGCTCATGTCCGAAGCGAATCCTAAAATTGCTCAAAATGTGCGAGAAGAACGGATCGTAGGTGAGACTTTCGTCATTGAAATAGTGGCCGAAATGAGCGTCGCGAAAGTATAGCGAAGCTGGCGCTGTTTGGCGTGTCGGACCCAAAGCACGCAGACACTTACGTGTGGTCACGCACGCATCCAAACTTAAGGCTGCGTTCATACTTTGCGGCAGTGTCCACCAGCGAGCGATAACGTCCACCAGCGTTCCAGCGTCTGACAGTGTCAGCGACTAGGAAAGTGGTCAAAAAAATACGATTCAAAGCGTCCATACTAGCGTAGTCGCTGACGCCGCGCTGCTAGAGCTGCGAGGCGCTGGCAGGACACTGTATTTCCTTAAGGCTCCCGGAAACGGACGCTGATGGACGTTATTAGTCGTCGGTGGACGCTGCCGCGACGTATGAACGTAGCCTAACCATAGCCAATGCCCTACTTAAATACGCCCTTCTCATTTTTGTTGCTCTCCACTTTGCCTGCGTATGTTCGCTGCGGGACTTCGGTATCAAGGCGATTGCTTCAGTTGAAAAATGTGTGGGCGCAAACGCAAACAGCATCGAATACCACCACTCTCCAGCCTCTTCCACAAGTGTTGCACGTGAACAGCTACACTGTTCTTCTCGCACATGGTTGAGCACGTCCTCGGAAGTGAGTGTGCCTGCCTTCAAAACAATAAATCACCCAGGAACTACTAGCAAAATCGCTTTTGCTTTACCTCTGAATGATGTTTCTTTCAGTGTTGTTATCTGCTGCAATCATGTGGATATTGGCTTTCACACTGTAGAAGAATATTCTACATCAAACTATGTACATAATTTGTGAATAAAATCTTATGATGTCTGTGTATTGCGAACTTGCATGACAATCATGAAGAGATCACGGACAAGGTCTTTGCCCAACCTGGAACTGGGATCTATTTTTCACGGTTCACCTGCAAAAATTACAGTGTGAACACAGACCTCATGCCTTACTAGTAGAAGTGGTAACGAGGTGGCACGCTTGCCAGAAACTCTTTTCTGGGGCAAAGCGTCTGGTCAATAACTCAGCATTCTTGTAGTAAATTTCGCCCACGATGCGAGGCGGTAAGCGGTAGTTGTCAGATTGACAGTCAAAAAAATCGCGGTTATCTTTGATGAGAGATCGACCTGATGTCAACTCACTGTAATTTCCACTGAAGTAGTGGCATTCAACCAGACAAGAGAGAAAGATTTCTAATCTGTCACTCAAAATTGCTGAACCAACATAGCATATTGAGGTGAGCCCACCTAAGGCGAGGGGGGAGCTCTAGGACTGACCCCTGGAACATCCTACTCGGACTTCCCCAAAAAACCTGTCGAGCGGGAAATAACAACACTTCCTTATTCTCCTTCCACTTGTTAGTCCCTGCGCTATCAGCAGTTGCCTTCTGTTTGACTTCAGTGAGGCAAATGCAGCTGGCGGGGTGAATCTCGAAGACGTAAGCACTAATATGCCTACCAGGACAGAATTCGGCGCCCATGAGCAGGAGCTGCGTGGCGCTTTTTTCGAGGAGGGTACCCTCATTGCACCCTATCATCCTACAACATACCGACCCGGACGCAACTCATTGCCCGCCTAGAATGTCCCGACCAAGCCTGTCGCTACTATCGCTTCATTTGGCCGAGAGTATTAGGTTTTGAACAATTTCTCGTCAAATTTTCAACATCAAAATACGTTGCCCATTACTTGGAAGAGGGGGTAACCGGAGTGAGCAGTGTTTTTCTAGTAGTACCACTCGCTTGACTCCTGCTTCTTCTTCCTCTTCTGCAATATGGGCAAGAGTTTTATCCGCTACCATCGGCACCGACCCCTCCAGACGCTTCCTCAAACTCTTTCTTCCACCACCCTGACGCCAGCATGATTAGCTGCAGATGCCAAAATAATGGAGCTGAATAAGGCCAGCTGCAAGGCGGAGCCTACGAGTTGATGACGAAACCTTTCAGTGTATGTTTGGCGTTTGGTTTACCTTCGTTGAACTCAGACTGAGTAAGCCCGCGGGTCGAAAGTGCTGGATGGCAGAAAGTTGTTTTCCTTGGGTTACATGCGCACGCAAAGCAGCTACGAGATCTGAAGCGTACCTTCGATTAGAGGGAAAAATTTGTCCGCACAGCCCGCCCTCATCATGACAATGCAGTCCGTCCAAAAAAATTCGAGCCGTACCTCATTGCAATAGAACTGGATGGCTCTCTTCCTGCGCTGGTGTAGCACAGACATTGCTCCTTCCGACTGCAAGTTGTCTTCCCGGTACTCGGATCGTCATAGTGGACGACAAAACTCGATACCTGATTTCAGGCACAAGTTCAGGTCAAGATTGAGATGGTATCCAACTTTGCGTCACTGCATTGTGAAGCGATGGGTGCTCAAAAACTGGGAGGGACCTCGCAGTAATATTGCTGTATAATTTTGATCTTATACCTTCTGTATAAAAAGAAAGCGTGATTCTAAAAAATGTGACAGAACTTTTCCACCAACTTAGTAGAAGAGGCGAAGGGATTGTATGAAGCGGCTACGATGCTGCATGGATATATGAGCGCACACATGCACCCGTGTCTACCGTAGCGGGTATTGGCACGATGCCAGCGGGGATCTCGTCCCAAATCGCTCTCTGAGCTTTTGTAGAAAAAGGACTTTCTTTCAAGTTTCGGACTGTTTCTGGCCATGAGAGTTGCGTCGAGAGCTCCTGCAGCACCCTCAGATTACCATAATCCTCCCGTCGACCTGCTGTTTGCACCGCCCGGTCGCTCACTATTGAAACTGACCAAATCAAACAAAAGACCCTTGTGACGCAGGTTGCTCCAAGTTGTACTTCCGCCGTATTGGTCCTCAGGAGCGATCGCTTTCCTTTTACACGGTTTATTTACTATTCGTCATTTTGATTGGATCTTAACAACGCACTCGTCAATGTGCATATTTACACTTCGCCCGAATTTCAATTCACTGATGAAGGCTTTTATGACATGTCGTATCCAAGGCAAATATAATGATCTTTTGTAAATATATCATTTTTTGCCCTTCTATTTCCATCTCAATCTTTTCACCTTTCAACGTTACCGTACTGCACGATTTTTGAAGTTTCCGGTGGATGGCTGCGCTGGAAGTTGTAGCCGTTTTGCATTGGAAATAGAAGTCACTATTAGGCAGCGTTCATACTTCGCGACAGCAGCGAGATCGCGGCGATCGCCGCGCCCAAACGCTATTACTTGGACCGCTCCGAGTGCTGCTAGGGAAAATCGGCTTGAATTTCGTGCTTTTTTCTTTTATTGCAATTGTCTCTGGTATGAAAGCTTGTTTTGACTCAAGGAAAGGTGGACCAAACTTGATGGCTTTTTTTCTATTCTCTTTTTTGATTCAGGATAGAAATGAGCAAAAAGCGTGGGGCTTCATTTAAGGTAAGTTTCTTAATGTTTATTTTTTCATTCTTCGAGCTTATACATGAATTTATAAAGTTTCCTCCTCCTTGATGTTGCATAAAACATTAGTGTTTCGATTCCTAGGTGGGTTTCATTCTATTTCTTTTTTTTCGTTGTTTGAATTCGACTTGTAAACTATAAATGTTTTGGAAGTTGGAACAGTTTAACCAATAGGAAATTTTGAGAAACTCATATAAAATGAAACAGTGAAAATAAACGAAACAAAATTTCACCTATTCAATGAGGTTGCCCTTTTTCCGACCTGAACAAAAAGGTGAAACCCCTGTTCTTATATTTCAGATCCTTTTAAAGTAGGGAAAGTTTGTAGTTAGTAGCGATTATTAAGGGAAAAAAGGTCCCACAAAACGGATTTCCTTATTTATCAGAGAGCATTGGGGAGGCGCTCTATGCGTACCGACGATCGTCGCTGCTGTCGCGAAGTATGAACTCTGCCTTACGGCAGAGCTTCGCACTACATCTTTCCTGCCGCCTTTATCGGATTCCTCTTCGCTGCTTGAGCGTTCTGCTCTTCCTCAGGCTTTTGATGAGTACACTTTTTCATTGCCTTGCTAAATCAGTTGGATTAAAGTGCTCATTCCCTCGCTGATCTCATGAGAGAGGACGGAGAACAACTCGTCGGCTTTCTTTTTACTACCTTGGAAAAAACAGCGCGCGAGTCTGGAAAACACATGAGTTTTCAGTCCCCGCCCATCTCGCGGAACTTCTTTGGAATGAAAAATCAACCAAATAATTTCGTTGTCCTAGTGGGATAAATCCAGGTCTGTCATTCTTAGGCCGATGCATCCTGCTATATATAAACGGCATTGTCTATCTCTCTCTGTATGTATGTATGTGGTGTGGTGTGTGTGGTGTCTGTCTGTCTGTCTGTCTTCACCTGAATAGCCAGTTAGAGGGGTCGGGTCATCGGTTGGATGGGTAGGGCATTGCCCAAGATGTGCGGAATATGCATGATCTCAGCTAAGCTCCGCCCACTGTGGGCGGACGTGCCCTTAGCCAGAAGCCTTTTATTTCAAAAAGTCTAATTCGGTTGAAAGGAGCCCGGACAGTGGAAAATGCTGGAAACAATAAGGAATGAATGGGCGGACGAGATGATGGAGACACTCGTACAGGTTGAACGGGATACGGGATATGCATATTTCGTAATATCATTTCAAATAAGACGAAGAGGAGGAAACGGTAACGAGAGGGGGGGTGGGTTGCGGACGGGGGAGCGTACGTAAATGAAAAACGAGTGGACGAGCTTCAGTCAATGTACTACCCCTCTCAATCAGTGAGTGAATGGATACTTCTTCTACTCACACCCGGCTTCGTTCCGATTCACAAGGTAACGCTTATGTATGCTGAAGCAGCTGGAAGACGCGGATCAGCAAGAATACATTGCTCTACGTCTCCAATTTTCAAGCACACCAATGCTTTCCAAACAATCTGCAAGACGAGTTATATGTAGAAAGGTTAGACAGCTGCCTGCTAAAGCGAGGGGGGAGGGACATACGGTGAATGAAACGGTAAAATATGGCTCCATCAAAAAAACATTTCCCGATAATATGGCCGCTGCCCCTTATCGTTGATCCGGCGAAGCGATGCGCTGCTTCTCATATTTTTTTGGTGCTTTTTTCTGCGGAACTCGTCTGGGGGAAAATCCACTTCATGTAGCAGGCTTCGATTTTTTTGTTATGTAATGGGGAAGACACCACTCCGGATCGTGGAAGAAGGATTGCGGCCTTCAGGTTATAGTTGACGATTGCCTGCGAGTTTGGTCATCATTCAAACTCGATTTGGTGACTCTTTGGCTTTGACATCACTCCCAACTCAACCGGGAACCAGTCCAGGTACCAGTGTACTTTTGTATGTCGACAGAAACGATGTCAAAATTGCACCGACACAACCCCAATTAGCACCATTCACAAACTAAAACGGATTATCTCACGCAGGAATGCGCGTAACCTTTTTCGTGATGTCGCGCCCCGCTTCAAATCCTCTTTTGATACATCCACTCAATCAGTTCTGATGGGGCTCGCCATTCAACTATTGTCAGCTTCACTCCATAGCGAGCTCCTCTGAACGATATGATGATGTGAATGACCTGTATCAAACTACATTCCTCACTATTTATTCCACTGAATGGACGGATGGTGATATGGGCGTTCCCAAGCTCTCAAATGTCCCCCTTTTATGTCCATCCCAAAAAGCTCCGAGGATCACCCAAACCCCTCACCAGATCATTTTAACAACCAGTTCGGCTGACGCACGCGCGCCACACAATCCTGCGGATCTGACACAACTGCACGTATTTGTACCGACCCCAATATCTAAACCGAAGAATGAGGCGTCGGAC